TAGAATTCACCCAGCTATTTGTTGGTGGGTTTTCTTTTTTTCGCGCGCGCTCTCTCTCTCTCTCTCGCTCTCTTTTTCCCTCCTTTTCTTTTCTTTATTCTTTTATCAGTAATCCATGTTACCAGAAGATGGGGATTACAAATCAGTCATGTGGTTACAATTTATAGAGAAAGACATCTTTTTTGTTAGATGAATGTAAAACTATTTAAAAATAAAAATACTAATGGATTTATTTAATTGAGAAAAAAATTGTGAAATGATATGAGAGAAATCATGAACCTTGAATAATACATTATGTGCGTGTCTGTTAAATTTATATGTATGCATTTTTAGTGTTTTAGTGTTTGTTATGCAATGAAATGCTGAGGAGTTCCTTTTTATTGGACTGAAGCGATCAGGTATCTGTTGACTAATATTTATTGAAATATAGGATGTATAAATGGTGACTATCACGGGGATATATTGGCATATACTTTGTCTTGCCTGGAACTTTTAAACTGGATATATCTGTTTTCATCCAGGCCTATATATCAGCAGAAATCGATTATTTCAGTTAACTTAAAGAAAAAGACTCGAAATTCACAAGCTTAGATCAATTAATGTCGAAAAAATTGTAGTGTATTGGATTATTTGGCAGAGTATAGGGAGAGAGAAGATCAATGAGATCGATGAGAATAGTCTGGAAGATGTGGACTTCACAGATGCTATATGTTTAATTTCACAAAAACTCGGAGATCTACAGGCGAAGACCAACAAGTTGGTAGAAGTGGTGAGTAGCGAAGACAGGATTTCAAGTGAAAGTAGAGAAGACAGTAATGATGATACATAACCAACAACAAGCACCGATGACTATCAACAGAAGATATTTGAAGGAAGTCATCTCTTTCACCTGTTTAAGGAGCACCGTTTAAACTACAGCCAGCCTTGATCGTAAAAGCAAGAGGAAAATTCATTAATCAGAAATCATTGTGGAGTTCTGCTGCACTCAGAATAAGGAACAAAATTGGATTTTCAATACTAGTGTCAAGTGATTTCTTCTATGTAGATCAGACACTTGGCTCGTTACCAAAAACATTCCCACTGAGCTTCAGACCTTTATCAATAGCTGACCCTAGTTGATACTGAAGATCACATGATTAGAAAGTATTAGCAACAATGAACTCTGGTAGTCAGCGAACTAACCAAGAACCTATCACTCAACAAATATGACATAAAAATGAAGATGGACTGAACACACGCTGGGGAGAGTGTTAAGTTACATCTTGCTTGCTCTAGGCCCTAGAGTAGAACCCTGATGAAGAACGCCAAGTTGAGAACCCGAGGGTGGCATGGAAGAGCTGCCGTGAGGATAAGATGAGGCCTTATGGGCAGTCGTAGAACCAGCTGTCAAAGACTACAGAGAACATGATATAGTGGAGATTTACTGTTGAGGCCTTATGTCCCACTCGGAACCCAAGGGAATTATAATAATGTCGGCTACACAAAATGTGGCTCTCGTGACTCATTAACCTATTTATTAATACTATGTAACGAGTAGTGCTAGTGTGGTGAGAGCAGGCCGTGAGAAAATATGTACAAGGCTGATTCAACAACTAATCACAGCAGACTTAACGTGGCAAAATATGATTCGCAGATAGGGAACTCTATTTTTCGAGGAATCCCGAAACAACCAATCAGAAGCCTGCTTTTGCCTGCTTAACTTCTGATAAACAACCAATCAGAAGACTTCGCTTGCTTGAGCTATAGTAATGTACAAGAAATATATATAAATACGAGTTGATTTTCGTAATAAAACGATCTGTTGCCTGGCCCTTGTCTTCTGTTGTTACACTAGGTTCAATTCCTGGTAGAAGCATTATTATACATAATAAATGAAAGTACCCCCAGATGAAGGATCCCTGATAGGTTGAGATGCACATCCCGGATTCCATTTCTTTCCACTATCAGTGAAATAATTTTAATGTATTGGGCGTCAGTCAGTAAGAGAAATCACGCCCATAGTGTCTTCTATTGAAAAAGAATAACAAAGCGTATCTTCAACTATTAACGCAACTCCTATACTTACATTAAATGAGGGCTCATCTTCAAAAATGAAACAAATGATAATGAAAGTGACCATAACGAAATGTAAACCTCGTAGGACTGGATTGTTGTGTAGGTGAATTAGCCTCTCGATAATATCTAGGTCACTTTTGAGGTTCATACAACTGACAAAAAATCACTTAGTAACAGAATCATAGTTCCTTATTGAAAATGTTTTGAACTTCCAGCTGGTTGATCACGCTGAATCAAATGCTTATTCTTTTTTAGCCTTACCACCTCCTAATACGGATGTTTCGATGATGCTTTGTGACTAACATGGTGTTATTCTGATGGATAGTGGTTAACCGTAGAGTTCATGACTCGCGTTTCATCATATTTAGACCTCATTAACTGTTGTCTGAAATGATACGTTCTGGGTTCATGTTTCAATGCGAAGATCGAACAGCCGAGCTGATGAGTCCCGAATAGAACGAAACTATAACTGCTGGTTCTCACTATTACATTGATCCTAGTGTAAAATAGGCTTTAATTAGTATTTTGAGACTTATTATTTGATAACTATTTAATGGATATTGACTATGCAGGGACTTATCATAATATCCATTAATATATATATATATATATATATATATGCATATGCATATATATCATGATATCATTGATAGAATGTACTTCTATCGATACAGAGATAATCTGATCATATGCATAACCGATGTATACTGATTGTTTATAAAAACCTGCGAATTTAATAAATGAATAAAACAAAAATTATATTTGGGTGGTCTCAGAGAAATAACTGCCTGTTCAGTACACTGAAAAATCTCAATGACTTATTATCGCTCAAAATATACAAAATCTTCAGTAAAATCTTTTAGAAAAAGAGAACGAGCAATGTACACCAGAAAGTAAACAAAACTGATTGGAATAAATCACTAATTAATTTATCTATAAATGATGGAATATAAGTTAATATTACCATAAATATTTAGTAAATGAAACTCAGTTATTAGTTTCCAGGGTCTCAGTTGATTTCAAGCTGTACTTTATCCAAAACCGACATCAGCTGGTAAAGCTTTAAAATCCTGGGAGGGCTGACACATGTTTCTTCCTTCACTAGTCAGTAGTTACTCATAACTTCATGAAGGATCAAACCCGAGAATTTCCGGTGAAGAGACAAGTACCTTACAATTCAACCTTGTGGAGAATAACCCATTGTTTTTTGACATTAACTACAGGTGGTGCTATACACCACTAAGTTCCAGGTCGAATACATCGGGCATTCTGTGATGAACCACTGACTGGATGTTCGGCAGGCTCATCTCGTAATTTGACGGTCTGGGATCCGACTTATTGCTGGTATTATGAGTGCGAACGCCTGAAAATTCCAATGATAGTACAAAACGGCTGTGAAGTATGTGTAACGGTATAATTGCTTGTAAATTCCCTCCTGAATGATCTGTTTACAAAACTGATATTTATTTGAATATTTCGATGAATTCTATAATAATTATTCTCTTTTCTACTAGACTGCATACCACTGCTCTGACGTTTGCATATCACCAATTGTTTCAATTTCTATTATTTTTCTTTGTTCTTGTCTAATCCCCAATTTTAATATTTCTATTTGCGATTGTATAGTGAGGTTGATTATATATTGTTTTACGATTGTGATTTTGTTTGAATGAAGCTAAGGTTTGCCATGGAGACTTTAACGTTCAACGGTCTGCAGAAAGTGTTTGGGACTTGGTTCTTGCTGATGATGTTTTGATGCCACTTTGTTGGGAGTATTTTTCTTGACTTCTATGTACTTCTTGCGTTTGATTTTGGTAAAATAATTTTGCTGTATACTATTTGTTTTGTAACTGAGAAACTACTGGATCTATAAAGTTGCCTAATAGCATTGTTTAGGTAATTTTGAGTTTGGATATGTTATTATTTTTTTACGAGTTGATCACGGATTGATATCAGTTAGAGAACTATTGAAAACCAGGGAGTACTGGACAGCCGCTGTTTCATCCTAGTTTGGGAATCATCGGCAGTACGCATCCACCACCAGGGCTTGAACCCGGGAACTTCCGGTTACAAGGCAAGCTTGCGTACCATTCAGCCACTGAGACCCAATTCAATAGCTTATGAATTCTAACTCCTACCAATTCGTGATTTAGCGTGACCAACAACCATCCTCACACGTGACATCTGGAAGGACCTCACTGGTCACGACTTCCAACTAAAACTCCAGGAAACTCCATCTTGTAGCAAGTCACCAGCGAGCATCAGATTAATTTTATACAGTTTGGTTTGTAGCTATTATTAAATATTACCACAGATTTTATCGCTGTCGTTGGTATATTTTGCGACTGTGAGTAACTCAGGAAGTTTTGATAGGCTATACAGTTTTTTTATTCTTTGACGTCTCCAGTGGAACATTGGGCTCCAAGCTAGAGCTTTTAAGTTTTGGTAGCACTGGAGTTTATTTTGACGGAATAGGGTTGTTAGCCTCATGTTCAACCTTCCCTCTTTACCAGTCTTATTACTGGCTCAGTGAGGTGAAGGAGTACGCCGGCCGGGGCTCGAACCCCGGACCACACATGTGGTTGGCAAGCGTTCTGCCAATATGCCACCAACGCACAAGCCATACGGTAGAACGCAACAATCGGTTTCCAGCGTTAAGACCACAACTCGTAGGTTTTGGTCGGTACGGTGACTCCTGGTTTCTAATGATGTTATAAGAGGTGTTTTCTAAAGGAAAAATAGGGAAGTCTTCTGAATAAACCAGCTCTGAGAACGCAAGATATATATATATAATTGATCTTCAGTCTATACATTAATCTATTGATTCGTAGGCCGAAAGCAACCTCATCAAACATTTTATATGATGAAAACTTTAGAAAAATGTTTAAATCTTAAATACGTAATCAATGCACACATTTATGCATACACAAATATTCGTTACTTACATCTGAAGTTTTTTCTCGATCGAACGGTTTTGTTGAGAATAGCTTAAATTCATATTCACCATCTGTAGATTTGGTTGACTGATAAGATCCTGGTGAATAATTATTTAAGGTCAGGAAATTGTTCTGATTATCTGACATTTCTGAGGTGAATAAACCACTCATCCCGGTACTGCTAACTGGAATCAATTCAAAGGCATCATTATCTGTGTAACACTCCACTTGACCCCATACTCCTGAATCTAAATCTTGTACATTAACAAATGCTATAAATCCTTTAGGAGTATTCTCTGCTATTAAACCATGATTATCGTCAGCAGTGAATGGTTGTGTATTTTGAATAGTTGATATTCTTTCATTCGGATTCATGCTCGTTGACTTCGCAGTTCCCGTTACTGATTTTGGTGATGATGTATGCAAGTAACTAATAGAAATCGATGGACTCATATCATTCACATCTAAGACATGTACAGTTATCTCAGCTCTTGATGACAGTTGTCTTGGATAACCATTGTCACGTACAATCACATGAAAAACATAATCTACTTGATATCTTTCATTTAAATCGATTGCATCATTAGTTGAATGTATATGATTATCAATTTTATTTCGCCTTTCAGTAAGAGCATTTCGTCTAACACTGTCTACATCAGGTGTTTGTATAATGAAGATGGCAGCTTTCTGTGGTGAAATTGTTCGTATACCAAAATGATGTGAAGCTAAACGTTCTTGCATATTTGATGGGGCAGCTAAACTGAATGTAAGCTGTGGAGAAGTTTACAAAACAGGAAAAGAAGAGATACAAATTTTCGTCAAAATACAGTCTAAAATAGTGCAGATTCTAGTGCATATTTCATTACGAACTGAAATCATTGAGAAGACTAGAAAAACCAGAGAGTATTTGATAGGTGTTTTGTCCTAGTTTGGGTAGGCGTTCAATAACCCGTGAATTCTAACTTCTACCAGTTAGCCACATATATCACCACAGTTAACCAAAGTCATGTCCAAGTATGTCTTTAGATCCGATTCGATAAAACCGAGTGATCAAGATTTCTCACTAGTACCTCAGGAGCTCAATCCCGTAGTGAGTTGCTCATGAGCAGTAGACTTTTAGGTGTTGATTTCTAGGTGCTTGATTGATTGCAAATTAGATCGTGAACTGATATCAGTTAGAGAACCACTATATGCCAAACTGGCGTTTTCTTTCATGATTATACCATAAACTATATTGACTAACTGACAAAAGCAGTATTGATTTTGAAGGAATTCCTGTGAATCTAACCTTTGAATAGTCTAAATTTGTCAGATAAGCATAATGCGGTAACCAAACACAAAATGGAAAGCAGTTTACACGAATCTTTATCCAATTATTTAACATTCCCAGCTATTTCAATCATTGGAGACGGACATCTGTAGACTTTAATTTAATTATGCTCAAATCAAACCACTGGGTAGGAAAAAGGTTAATTTTTCAAAATGTTATTTCGCTTTCGTCTGGGAGGCATGCTCAACTGTTAAATATTTACGTAATATAGATATCTGTAGCAAGACTGATCTTTTTGATTACTTTAGGCTTGGAACTGTGAACTTCTATATTTTATTGTAGAAAAAGATACTAATTACTTCTGCATAATTCAGTCAACAGTACTGCTGAAATTTTTATTCGGCACTATGAAAGATCATTTTGCCAGGTGTCTCATTAGTTTGTGATTGATTAAAATGAATAGCCGGGAACAACTGACATCATCCCTTGGTACTTGCCACCTCACGGTGATTTTATCCATGCTAGGTAGAAAGAACTCAACAGAACTGTGTTTAGAACGATGCAGCTCACAAAGTCGAATAGGTTCAAACTACCAGGATTGCGGTTGGCTTTCTGGTCATGCAACAAGAAACTGACGAATTATGTCTCACTGCATTAGCTTGTTGAGATGGTCTTGGATTTGATGATGACTGTAAGTGATTTGAAAACTTGAATCATAGCATGACTCAGATCAAAATACCTGGACTAATTTTCATTTGGTGAAACAAAACTCAAGGTTCACAGATGAAACAGGCGGCTGTTGATACGGCTATATACTCCTTAGAGGTGTCTGTCTGTCTGATTAGAAACAGTATTATTAGACGCTACAGTCAGAGGCATTATCGCTGAGCTTTTTAGGCCACAATTGACTTAATGTGGAACTTTAGTGGATAAACTGATTATTTGATGTGGTATAACCAGTTTTATGCTGTCTAGACCTTGGTACTTACTGAATTGCATCACTCAAGCTTGTAATTTGGTCACCAAGTTACCAGACATGGCATTTATTGCTCCAGTTTTACTTCCATTAGTGAATTACAACTTCATCTTTCATCATAAATATCTTGATTGAAAAGCTTGTGTCGTTCACTCATCACTATGACTGCGTAATAAACGGCTTACTTCTTCTGCACTCTATTTTTCAGCACTCACCAGTGAAAGTTAGGGCGTACTGGAAAACTATTTCCTCCCAGTATGCTAGTCTTCAGTAGTCTGCACCAGTGACCTTATCGGAGACCAGTCTCCGAATCTTCCACCCAAAAAACAACCAAGCCGACTACGCCATCACTGCATTGGAATCCAAGGTCCACTGTCATCTGTGAGTACTTGTCAACCAACAGGCTACTTGTCGGCTTCTACTGACGACAACTTCTGGTTCAAACTTTCGCGAAAATCCATTTCGAAGCCAGTCGACTGCATGATCTTCGCTCGAAATGAAACCTGCATTGAAACTAATTTAATGCTTAAAAACTTAACATCTATACATTTTCCCTAAGTTAAATGAAAACACTTGACTGATGTATTGTTAATGTGACTCAATTTTCAAATATATGCCTTTTGTATATTGATTCACAACACTTCAGATGCTTTTAATGACGGCGTCACTTTAAAAATGAGTCTTCACTAGATATATCTGAAGAAAGGATAACCATCCAGGATAACTTTATATGAATGAAATCGAAATGGGAATAATTATAACACAAAGTGGAAAAAATAGTTTCTTGTGTAAATATTTACCAAATATGATTGTCAAATAAATAAAGGAGGAACATTATTTGCTTTTTCAGGATTGATTTTCAAAGGAAAGAAAAACACACACCAAGTGTCAAAGTAAACAAAAAACTTTCTCTATGTTTTTTCTCAGATATTTATTTTGATTTCATACATAGCGAAAAATCAGAATTGTTGATTACCATGAGAATACTTGTTTTCTGGTTGAGAATATACTGAAATTATATACACAAATTGAGTGAATGAAGCTCATCAGTTCGACAGATTCTGTTTTAATTTTCATGCATTGGTTTGTAAAGATGTGACTTATATTGAAAGCAGATTTAATATCACGTTAGACCACCCACCTACTGACCTTAGTTAGAGAGCCATTGGAAACCAGGGAGGGGCGCGGGTAATGGATAGTTGATTCTTCTTACACTGGAACTCTTCAGCACTACCTACCCATGACTCGAAAAGAGATCACAGCCAACCTATTGATCACCTAAACATTTGGATGGAATACACTGACCTACCTATGAATTCTAACTTCTGCCAGTTGGTGATACTTAGCAATACAGTGAGTTATTGTTATCTTTGAGTATTCGTTTTCGCACACGGCTTGGTAGACCCCACTTTTTTTCTTTCCTTCACGTTCCCCAGTGGAACATAGGGCTTCAAGCTAGTGGCTTGAATTTTCTGTAGCAGCGGTGATTATTTATACAGGATGGGGTTGCTAGCCTCATGCCCAACCTTTCCTCTTTACCAGAATTATTTCTCGGTTAGCCAGGTAAAGGAGTGCGTCGGCCGGGGATCGAACCCCGGACCATGTGCATGGTTGGCGAGCGTCCTAACCGCTATGCCACCGACGTACAAGCAGGACCCCACTGGTTACGATTTTTCACCAGAATTAGAATTTCTCATTGATTAATTTTCAGTCTGGTACCGACGTTTCGTATCGAGGCTTAAGTTTAACAATAATATCATTTGTATCATCGGTAGATAAATACTTTAGATAGGTAATCTTACCAATAATTTCAATTTCTCTTATATAACATTATTCTTCATAGGTGTTGAAACGCTCTTCCTATCGATTAAATATATTAACTTTATAAGGTTTGATTCTATTCTCATATATACATATATATTTATATATATGTATATATAAACCTATAGAACACAAGTGTAAATGTTACATTCACTGAAATTCAGCTGAATGTTTTAATAGAATAGTGACGGTGAGAGAGAGAGAAAGAAAGGGAGATACAGGGAGTGGGACAGTGAGAGAGAAGTTGGTTAGCCTAGAAAGTCTGAAAATTGAGAAAAAAAGAGACATCAGGAAATGAAAGATGATATGGTGGTGTCTTCCGTTGAAATTCTTCTTTTTCCCTCTGTGTTTCTCTATTATCATCTACTACATGTCTTAGCAATATAACAATTTTGCATATATATGTATACATCTATATATGTATTCATATAAATTTATAAATATAAATATCAAACAGAAATTGGTATTTACTCTTATTCTACCTTAGATGACAGTTAAGGCATAACGGTTGGGTGAAAACAGTAAAACAAATTTCTACGCATCACTTGTGCGTTCGTTATTTTTTACTTGGCTGAACGACAAGTGAATAAAAAGGTAATCGAAAAGTAAGAAAAGTGAGTGAAGAAAGTGGCAAGATAAAAATGAGGAAGATGCTACTATACAGTAGTTTATTACATTGCTAACAAAATAATAAACCGTTAGAGAGAAGTGAGTAGTAATGGCCGACAGGGTTCACCAGGCTATTTGTATATGTCTGATGATAGATACTCACCGATGGCATTGGTTGACGATGATGACATAGATCCCATCTTGGCGAAATATAGCAATTCATGGGCCACAAGGTTCCATTTCAGTGTCTGACAACCTGGACCTCATGTATCTGATTCCTGGTAGAGTCACGGGTGTCAAGTGCTAAAGTGCTCCGACCTAGCATAAAACGGCTGTTTAATACTCAGTTGTTTTCAGTTCTTCTCTAGAAGAGATCAGTTCGTGATCAAACTTGAAATCGTAAATATGAACGAAATATTCCTATATTGAGTCTTAATAAGAAGATGTAAATAGCGAACAGAATTTTCTTTTCGTCTATTCAATTTCATAAGCTGTACCATCGTAATCATGTTTGACAAAAAATTAATAAAATCAGCCAGATACTAGTAAAATTTTCCCCCAGAGACGTATAACGTATTGTGAGGTGTGGTCTGGAAGAGCTGACTAATCAGAAGTTAGAAAAAAGGCAAAAGTTTGGATGTCGTATTAATTGAGAATAATCATAAAAATGGTAGACCTAAATAATAAAAGGAATCAAAATTATAGTAAGAACCTTACTCTGGCCACGGTAGGTCGAGTGAATATATGTAGCGCTTTTGAATGCAGAGGTCCTGTTTCACATCCCGAATAGCTAATGACTGAGCTACGTACAGATGGCGTATTCGAATTCCTTTCGTATATTATTGAGGGATTCCGTGTGGAACTGTGAAGCGTTCGTGCGAGTGTGCTTGGTGTCCAGAGTTGATGACGTGTTCGAGGATGGAGCTGTTAATGTTCTTCTTTTCTCCTCTGCTTAGCCAAGCTGAACAATGTTCCAGAATACTTTTGCTGACTTTTGCGTATGGCCGATATACTTTGCTCCACACGAACAAACAAAATGATAGATACACAGTGAGGTTGTCAGAAGCGATATCTTGTCCTTAACGCTAGATTGGATAAATTGTCTGCTTGAGTGTGTGATGAGTGAGGTGGTTGCTTTGAGTGTTTTCTTCAGACATTTAGAAAAGCAGTTTCTAAGAATTTCTGCTGTGATGTCATCTTTGAATTCCAGGTTCATGAAGAAAAATGTGATTTTTGGCGACGGAGGCTTTCCTATCATGTTTTCTGTCGATAAATCTTAGTGGATACCCGTCCTCTAGTAAGGCTTCATATAATGAATTTAATTCTTTCTCTATCGTGTCTGCTAAACAGATTTTACTAGTCCTTGAACGTGATGTACGTACAAGGTTTTGCTTTCGGATCAGTGAGAGAAAACTATGAAAGTTGATGATATGTCCCGTCCATGTTGTCTTGCGATATATTGATCTTTGGATCATACAGTTTTGTTTTCTGGTAAGTAGTAAATCGAAGAATGGAAATGGCATGTTTGATTCATGTTCTAAGGTGAATTTTATTGATGTGCTGCGTTGGTGGTTTCGAGAAGATATTCTAAATCAGATTTTTCATCACAAATTATGAACGTATCATCTACTTATCTCCTATATAAGTGCAGTTGACGTATCAAAGGATCGAGGATGTTGTTTTCGAGACTCCCTATGAAGTATTCAGCTAGCACTGGACCAAGAAGAGACCCCATAGCCACACTACCTTTCTGTACATAGAACTGTTCATTGAATTTGAACTGGATGTTAAATGTTCCTTGAGCTAGTTTATGGGAAGAGGAACTTCATGGTTACTGATTTTAAATCCTAGATAGTTGAAGGTCATGAGTACGAGGTCTTTGACCAAGGATTTACGCTCATCAAGGGAATTTCTGTCTCTACTGACAGCTACGGCAAAAACACAATATTCCGTAGTACTGTAATGTTCATAACCATTAAAAATATGTTCGTTATTTATTAAGCCTGATATCAGCAGACAAAGGAGATTTGAACGTGTAATCACATCAAAGTAAAAAGATCAGCTCTGATGTTAGATTTCCGGAGGCGGCTCACAAGAAGCCCTCACCCCTATTTTTGTGTTTATTTGCACTTAACAGTAAAGCGTGCCTGTGACAATGTCGAAACAGATGTTCCCTCTGAGAATTCCAACCCACACTACCCATTATTGCGGTTAGAGACTTTACCAATAAACTATTAATACTAACTACCAACCTCCACTAGAATTATCAAGGACACATTGATAAATCAATGGGGACTAGTTCTGGATGTTAGTGTTGACTGGATTATTTCAATCAAGTTTGCAATGCCGTCACGAAGCTGAAGAATTCGCCGTCGCAATGAATTTCTGTTTGTTATTGGATAACTCGTGGCAACCGGCAGGAAATTGTGGATCTGCTTTACGTGCTTAGTAGTACTTATCAGTAAAGTGTATTTTCAACTGCAAAGGAATATAATGTCTACTCTGAGATTCAACTTCACATAACTCAGTGCTATTGTTGTAGACGTAATAAATACTGTGTTGAGGCCACTACTGAAAAAAGAGTAAACATCAGTAAAAAAGGTAAACTTACTTGTCCGTTGGATGCTCCATCTTCATCTGTAGCCTGTAATTCAAGTATCAATGAACCACGTATTGTACTTTCATTAATTGTTACTGAATATGCAGATTGAATAAATTTTGGTGGATTATCATTTTCATCCCTTACACTAACATGTATATCAATATGTCCAGTAAGTGAAATTATCTCACCCATATCTTTAGCATAAATTTGAAAACTATACTCTTTTATACTTTCCCAATTTAATGATTGTGTTAAAACTAAGCGTAATGATGGATTGTTTTCTAAACGAAACGGTAGACTGTTACTATCCTCTATGCTGTTTATTTCATTCAGTGTTGTTTTATATTTATCGTGTTTTTGTTGTTTCAGTGATAAGTTGCCTAACCAATAGATAATACTTCCATTTCTCCCACAGTCTGGATCATACGCTGTAGGTATTTCAATGATACTTTTCTCTGGTATTGATGTTATTTCGCCTAATTCTACAAGTAGACGGGATTGTGGAAAACGTGGAGCATTGTCGTTAATATCCAGTATGCGTATATTAACAGCAATTAGACCGGGTTCATTGAATAACATAGGTATATATGGTTCTGTTGATGTTTTTTGAATATTATAAGCAATTTGTAAAATTACAATACACGGATCATTTGATGCTAGTGTACCTTGTATTTCATATGGATTATTAATTAGATTGGTTACATAATTATCATACTGTTGAGTAGTATTCATGTTTAAACTAGATCGTTGGCATATCACTTCACGATCCGGTGGTATCGCTACACGTAATTCACCTGTATACCGATCTAAAATGAAATGTTTAATATTTGATTCACGCCAATTTGTAATTGATAAGTGAATTGATTTGGGATCAATAATAACTTGTCTATTATCATTATTACCATCATTTGTCGTTGTTGCATATTTTGGATCACTAGAGATTGCTGTCAATAAATCCGTGATTATATTGCCAACAAATGTACCACGTTTTGACTCTTCAACAACTTCATAACTGAATAAGCGTGATTGATGCTGACCCACTGCAACTGCCGCTGCCACTGCTGATGTACTAATTAACCGTGGGTGCCTTACCAAGCCGATTTCTTTGTCTTCTCCATTTCCCCCGCCTCCTTCGAAGCTTCTATTGTCTACTAGGTGAGTTTGTTCAGACTTCAGAGAAGTTGAATATGTTAAACTGGGATTGATTACCAAGAGAATTACACAAACAACGAAGAGTAGTCGGATAAGTAGAATTTCTTGAGGTGATGAAGTATTCAACAGCATCACATACTTTCTAGTACCATATATTACTGACTTGAAGACAGGCACATTAAGCATTGTTTAAAACAGACTGAACCGTGTGGATTTTTTATTCTGAAATTACAAAAAGGTGATAAAACATATTTAAAATATAAGTGGAAATCAGGCATTAAGAATTAACTTTAGGACAAATTCTAAGCCAGAATTTATAGGCTATTGGATTAGACCAAGTGGCTAGATAGTATCATTCTAAAACACACTCTGAAGGCTACAAATTTAACTCCTAATGAGATCGACTGTGGGTACTTTTTTGATTCCACTCTAGTCAGTAACTAGTGTAATGTGTCTAGTCCTATCTTCGGTGCAGACTGAATTCTATCAGTCACCGAAGATAGAACTAAACACATAACACTAGTTGCTGATTAGTGTGCAATCAAAAATATCTAATACAGTCCTACAGGAGGTCAATCACAAGCCTGAATGGCTCAGTGGTAACGTCTCTGACTGCAGCACTGGGTGACGCGGGTTTGAATCTCAGAAGGGACATGAATTCCTTCAAGGTTGCAGATACGCCTTGCTGGTGAGGTCCAAGGCTTCCTGCCGATTGCCTCCAGCCATCTAATACTGTGGGTACTGTTGAACAGCTCTAAATAAGGACGAAATAGGTCTCCAGTGCTCCTTGGTTACTGACACTTCTTTAAGTGATGCATAACTTCGTGAAAAAAACAATCTGACCGTTTATTAGCTTGTTTACTCATTAATTAATCGGTCAAAAAACAGTCAAAAATACGATGCAAACATCTTAAAAATGAAATTCAACAGCTTCTAAAGAAATTCTGAAAACTGATGACATTATTTTAATGTATAATAATAAGTAAGTAAGCACATCTTTTCATTTATTTGATTTTCCAATAGACACTACGGATTCAAGTTTTTAAATTTAAAAATATGTAGACAAACAGAAGGTCTAGCAATGGGGTCACCAATATCCCCTATCGTAGCAGGCATATTTATGGACAGCTGAGAAAATATTGCTCTGAATACATTTAATCCAACTTCAAAAATATGGTGGAGATATGTGGATGAATGACACTTTCACAGTGTTAAAAACAGAGCATATCTCTAGCTTCTTCACACATATAAAGTCACAAGTAGAGGGAATAAAATTCACATTTGAATCGGGAAATGAACAAGGAGAATCAGCTATGTTAGATTGTAGAATCAGATGAACAGAAGAAGGTAAAATGCACACTAGTGTTTATAAAAAACGAACTCATTCTAATAGATATTTAGACTTTAATTCATTTCGTCCGTTATCTGTAAAGGCTGTCTTAGTTAAGTGTCTAACAAACCAAGAAGTAGCACTAAAAAGACCTAAATGATGAAATAAAACAGATAGAAGAGGCATTGGTGTTGAATAACTATCCTATAAAATTCATTAGGAAGATCAGTAAAGACCGAAAACAAAATAATACGTAAGATTCTTAATAAAGCAGGAATTAGGGTGACATTCAAACCTACAAACTCACTCTCAGGGACAAGCTCTGTAGGTTAAAGGACCCTGTTGATCCAATTAGACAAAATAATATAATTTACAAAATATCCTGCAATGACTGTGAGGTAAACTACATAGGTCAACTAGTACATGGGAAGTAGGGGATTGTTACAACATAAGAATTTAGCTAAGGTTAGAATGATTGATCCCATCCACGAAGTTAAGTAATTTAGAAAAAAAACTCAGCAAGAGGATTGCATGCATTAATACACAACCACACCATAGGTTGGGATAGAGTCAAAATTCTAAAATTTACTATAGGTAGTTGGAGAGAAAGACTGATTATTGAATCCTGGTTTATCGAGTCTACACCCAACTCATACAATAGAAATGACTCAATGCAAATACCAGGGATATGGGAGATATTATAACCAGTCAAATTAGAGGATAATAAAAAATGTTAGAATTTATCTCAATTCACATTATAACATTCTAACAAGTTACTTATTTTTACTATAAAAACATTTTATTTCTTATCTTATTATATTTGATTGATAACACTAATACTATTTACTTCTGAGTGTACTTTATCTTATATTGATTTTCATTCAAATGTCTAATCAGTTTTTGCTAATGTATATAAACGAAGCGAGAAAGTTGTTTGAGTATTGCCTTGATATGATGATAAGTGGCAATAATTTGTACTCGAAACGTCATCATCAGTAAATATTACTGTACAACACTATGTGATTTATCAGAATAAAGATTTTATCCATAATGGAGTTATACTCTACCACAGTGGCCAATTTTTATGCTTATATCAGAAACTGTTATCGAATGTAATCTAACTACTACTTCAGAATATGGTTATTATATGAAGATTACATGTCAGCTTTTGTGGATATCTTTGTTTTTCAATATATAAGTGAAAAGAATTGGAATCTCCCTGCCCACTGTTGTCCAAACTCTGATATCTAACTTATAAAAGAAAGGTCTGTGTAGACTGGATGGATGGAATACTTTCTCAGTCCGTTCCCTTCTGTCCATTAGATTTTTTTGGTATGTTACTGTCGGAGATACTCACAGTAAACTAATTTGTAAAGCGAAGGCAATAGAGGTATATTTTAACTGAAATCTCAAAGCATATCTTATATTGAAGTTGGCACCGAAGACGATGTCGAGAAAGGAAATGAAAGCTTCTCAATTAAACTATTCGGTTCAATTAACACATTAGTACTATAGAGTGATTTGTGTTTTTCAGTCAGAAGTCTAATATGACCTTTTCATCACTTCCTTATTCCTCCATTTTTTTCTCAGCATATATGGGATCGGTAATCACTTTGAATTTTTAAATGCTATTTGTTACCAGAAGCGGATTAAAACATGTATATATACTACTTATAACCTTCTCTGTTCAACATTTCTATTAGTGTTAAATGGTTCGGGTGCCAGTAAGAACTACCTTGACGAATGATATTGGTTAGATCTCTCTGAACAATTAGTTTAACCGTCACAGTCCTATAGAACGTCAGCCTTAGGTCTAGATGGCACAATATTAACGTCTCTGAATACAGAATTAATTAATGATGGTTCATATCTCGGAGGAAACACCACTTCCTTTGATGTCGCAAATGTATCCTACTTATGAGTGCCATTATGCTTGAAACCTAGTTTGAGGGTTTTCCGACAGTTACCCCCAACTATATAACACTTATTCAAAAGGTTCACAACTATGACAAGTCTCCTGGCTTTGTGAAAACATTAAGCACTTGAGCCATAGATTTAAGTCAGTATCAAAGAGAAGGATCTGAGGCACGAAGCATAACTACTCCGCAGTGTCTAATCACTATGATCATGTCTCTGTTTAAAATAAAGTTTACATTTTTCCTAAGCTGTTTTCGAAAAACTAATCAGAAAACCATCATCATGTTTCTTAAGCTATGAGTGATATTCATTTTTGAGAATTCAGTTTTATTTTCAGGTGGGAATTTATCTTATCTTTATTACGTGTTAAACTCTTGCATATCACTTCCACCATACATTTGATGTGGTATAATTGCGACCGGTTAGACTATTAAAAATACTTTGATTTCTAAGAACGATTCAGATGTTTCACTCATTATTATATAATACATTTTCCAACACATATTTGCATAATGCATCCTCCGATTTCAGTCAACATGTTTTTATATTTCCCTACTTATCGATCATTTTATATACACTCATAGACAACCATTACCTATTGCAAACTTCAGGCATTTGCGGACCCCTAGGTTCTGAATATGTGACCTGATGTTCAGTGCTCTTACCTCGTAACCCGAAAGTTCTGGGTTCTATCCCTAATGAGGTCACGAGTGCCTGCTGATGAAGAGTTCCAGTCAGGGAAGAAACAAACGTCCAGTATCTCCTGCATTTCAATGATTCTGAAACTGATGAATCGGCTAGTGATGAAACTCAACTTAAAATCAATTAGATCCTTACGAATCAACACTCCAAATGATCAATAATTATTAACCGAGCAGGTGTTGATGATTTTGTTTTGTTCGCTAAGCTTGAAGGTTCAGTTGTGAAGCGTTCATTGTCCTTCTTGAACAATCTCTTGATATTTAAAATCAACAATACCATAAAATCCTCCACCTGGAATGCAAATAGTTTCCATTATTTTTAAAATTCATAATTATTAGATTATTGATTTATCTGTTTCTTACTATTCATTATTTTGTAATTTCCCTTTTTCACTTATTTTTATTATTTTTTTCTATTTTGTTTGTTTGTTTATCAAATATTGATGAAATGAACTCTACTGAAAGAGGAAAAGACAAATGGGTGTATTAGGAGAAGGGATAGATGTGTGCCTAACAAACCAGGTAACCACTAGTATAGTAATAATTATAATAATAACAATAATAATAATAATGGTGATAAAGGATCAGTATATCATCATATAACATTTCTACTGTCCTCGTGCATCAGGTCAGCTTAACCCATGCTTCATCATGCGTTATCTGTTATAGTATACGTATGTGTGTGAGTGTGTGTCATGGTGAACAGAAGTGCTCACGTACTTCCCCTTTCATGCTATCTGATTAACAGATAGATAGGATGATGAGTAGAGGTAAAAGTACTATAAAAAAGAAAGAAAATAAAACACCTCCTCCCTGATGGAATAATGAACTCAAAAAAACCAAATAGTTGATTACTTTGCTAATTATATTTGATAAAATATTTATTATCTGAAATGAAATAGTATACTAACTGACATATACCAAGTGACAAAATCAATGAGAATAAATAAATCAGTGTGATATTAGTAGTAGTGACCTTTTATGAAAAGTGAGAAAGGTATTTTTGTTGTTGATGTAAAATTGTATACAAATACACATAGACTTTGAAAATGATACTTTAATTTTTAGCTTATTTTCACTCATCAAGGAAGGATTTTGATTATTATGCTTCATTTGTTTATGTTATTCGAACTTTTGTTGAACATTGATGTTCAAATGTTCAATTGAATTATTTCAAATAAGAAAAATGTGTAAAAGGTATAATCAACTGTTTCCTTTTTAAATTACATATATATTATTATTATTATTATGAATAAATTTAGCATGAATAGAAA